CTGTGTCCTGAACTACAGCTGTGGTTTTGTTTGTGTCTTACATCGTAGCTGTAGTCTGTTTCGTCGTTGGTGACGGTGAGGTCAGCGAGGTCGCCCAAACCCAGCACGCTCTCCAACACGTCGTCTGAACCCCCCAGCAGGAAGGACTTCCCCCCACCAGGAGGAAACGGAAGAGGCTCCGCTGCAGACACAGATATTACACCTTAGCTTTCTTTCTGTGACAGAATCTTACACTAACAGCAGAATCCCTCATCATCCTCACACGTACACATATACAATTTTCAACGTAAACTATTATTTAAAAACAATCATGGGCAGCCTCATAAATAATGAATCAAATCTGTCACAGTAGGATTAATTACATAAATCACATATCCAAGTTGCGCAGAGATTTCCAGCCTGAATGTGATGTTACTCTTTGTGTTAACAGAATCTGATTGGCTGATTATTTTCTTCCAGCAGTCTACTTCGTTGTAAGTAGCTTGCAGAGTTCACTGGTACCGCTCATTTGTGACTGGACGGACACCACTTCCTCTAAGAAGTCCTGTATCTCTGCCAAGTACGGACCAAACCATCTCACCGAAGTGGAAAACAATCCGAAGTCCAAGTCAACCAAACTAAACATCACAGGAGTGAAAATGCCTCGTGTCTCTCACCCCACTCTGTCCCGTCTCCGGAGCTCCGAGCCTCGCCTGCTCCCTCGCCATCCTCCGCCGTCACCAGGAAGTCAAACTCCTTCAGAGCCTCCTCCGTGTCGGCGTCATCCTCTGACGCCAAGCCCTCGTTCCCCACCTGCAGGAGGACAAACACATTGTTAGAGCTGCAAAAAATCAGTCAATTAATCAATTATTCAGTCGGCAGGAAATTAATCAGCTACTACTTTGATGATCAGTTGTTAGAGTCTTTTTTCAAGCACAAATTGTGATGTTTCCTGGTTCTCATATATGACGATTTGCTGCTTTCCTTGGTCCTACATTACAGTGAATTTAATGTTGGCTGATAAAATAAGACATTTCGGCTCGAGGACATGCTGAGAGGCTTTTCTCACTGTGCATCAATGATGTGTAGAACAAACGATTCATTGATAAAATAATCTACAGATCAGTCTGTAACGAACAGAATCATGAGTTGCAGCCTGATATAGATATATTTGAAACGTGTGTGTGTGTGTACCTTGGTCTTGTGTTTCTTGGCTCGGTGGTGTTTGTCGGTGCTGATGTCGTCCATCAGGTCTCCCTCCTCATCCTCGTCTTCGTCGCTGTCCTCTGCGTTCTCCAGGAAGTTGAATGTCTCCAGAACGTCTCCTGGACTCCTGGACACAAAAACACAACTAGAGTCACCACCTCGCGTTTGTACTTCTCCATGAACCTGTCAAGTTTCTCTGACAGTTTCCATCCATGTCTGTGAACATGTCAATGCTTCACACACATCATCTCCCCTGACAGCACAGGTATACAAACACAGACCATAGACTGTATAAAATAATGGATGCAGCTACTGTGACGTTCCCCACTGGTTTGTGGACGGCTGTTTTAAAGCAAAGGATTGACTCGTTTGAGAGCCAGCCTCAAGTGGCCTTTAGAGGAACTGCAGTGTTTGGCACTTCTGCAGTGGCTTCGTTTTTAAGCTACAGAGGTTGCTGCTTGGTGTAAACAGTGTGTGACCTCTGACACCTGGTAACTGTGCGTGTGTTTGTGTACCTCTTGCTGTCCTTGCGGCGCTCTGTCCCGTTGATCAGGTGCTGCAGGTTCTTGTTCTCCACAGATCCGTTCTGCTCGGAGCCCGACAGGCCGAGCAGAGAGCGAACCCTCTGAGTACGAACGTCCAGGATGGTGTCTGTGTATCCTACTTCCTGCAGGTACCTAGACACACACAGAGGTTTAAACATTAGTGAACAAATCTAATTGGTTTTTCATTATCTATTCTGACCTTGTACAAAGTATTTGGTGAATAAATGCAGGTCTAGTTGTGAAGCAAATTCCGGTGATCTTTCTCTAAATCCAGCTCAAACTCAACACGTCATCTCCGCTCCAGGCAGAAGATTTAACACTGATATGTTGTGAGCGTTCTTACTGTCTGAGTAGTTGTCTTCCTTGTTTCCAGGTGAGCTGACTGTTGGCAGGAACAGCAGAGACCTCTGAGTCTTTGGTGTCTAACCGACAAACACACACAAAACAGGAATATAGGAAACAGTGAATAATACGACAGCACCCGCAGGACGCCGTCAGATAAGTGACAGTGAAGTGATTCCTTTCCCAAGTTCATACCAACATTACTAATGAAATTCAAGGAGTTGGAGTTCATTTTCAAGCACTATATTTTTCATTTTCAAGGGCTTTACTGAAAGGAACTTATACATTTTCAAATATAATTTTTTAGCAGGTGTCAGGACAGAAAGTGGGATTGAAGAAGAGAAGAAGAGGAGGAAAAAAAGCTGAGAATCGTAGAGAGAACAGATTAAAGGCGAGAAAGATCAGAGTGTAACAGTATTACAGTAACAGCACATGAAGACAGTCTGACGGCAGGTTAACAGACACAAACAAGTTGTTCTTTAATCACCTGATTCAAAGCTTGGCATCTTCATCTCCCCTTGGTTTAACTCCGTCCCATATTTTAACTTGTGGTATTTTGCTCTGAGGAGAAAACAACAAAAATATATTTAATCATTTAAACATCAAACAGCATCTGTGTTTAGTTTGTTACTTTCATTTTTCCTCATCTACATCTCTTTGATTTTTAAAAATCCTTCATATTACGGACACATTGTCATGGGTGGTGCGAGAATGAATAGTCTGGAGGGGCGCTCTGCTGTATCATCAGCTGTCCATGCTCACACAAGGGTACGCTCGAGCATTTCTTTCCGTCATAATGGGTTGTTCAATTTTTCACGAAACATCATGTTTCATAAGCTCTTCATTCTAATATAAAAACCTGGAGGCTTTACTGGAGAGGAAGCACATGTTCAAGGCTCCACATCCAGGTGTGTGGACACTAGAGGACAGCAGACAGTGGGCGCAGACTCCGCAGACCTCCCACCCACTCTCCGGTTCTCTGGCATGCTCCAGGGACGCTGGCTTAACTCTCAGCCCCCTGGCTGTGCCCCACAGCCCCTACGCAGCTTCCATCAAGCCCCACTGACCCAGGCTTTGCTCTGCTTCTCTACAAAAGAACCAGAGGGAGGGAAGGAGTTCTGCGAGGTCCGTGCCCACCTCAGAGGGCCCTCTGTCGGCTTTTTTCCAGTGTCCACATACCCCTGGATATGAAGCTGTGGACTTAATCATTTTTTGGAAAAGAGTTTGTGCTTCTGCTCTCCAAACATTTGTTCTCTCATGCCACGCCAATCACAGCGGGATCCATAGATGCTTTAAATGACTGAAGGAAATTTGTATCTCCTCGACAAATGATTCAAATCATCAACATTTAAACTTCAGACACGAATGATTCTTGCTTATAAATCAGTTTCAGAGCTGAGTGTGACTGTTAACAGTGAGCTGCAGGAACTTTCTGCACAGCACTTCCTGCAGGTAGATGATTCACCTGAGAGCTAAAGGTCTCATGACTTCCTGCTGATTCTTCACATTTCTCCTCTGCTGCTGTTTCGTGTTTATTCTAACTGATACCAGCTGTTGACAAAACTTGAACCTGGTGCATTATTTACTGCGCTGAAGGATCGTCCGTGTTCATAAACAATGTTAAAGGTTTTTTTCCTGAGTGGGTTCGAGGACAGAGGGATGTCGTATGCTGCAAAGCCTTCTGACGCAAATTGTGATTTGTGATATTGGGCTCTATAAATAAAACTGAATTGAGCCACACATCTCTTCACTGCTTGAAGGTATACTCTGCAGGATTTTCCTTAAAAAAAAAAAACAAAAAAAAAAACAATGTACAGATTCATACAGAGGTAATCCCTCCCAGTCATCACTTATGACTCACTCTCAGTGTGTGCTGGTGTATTTATCTGCAGGAATGATGGAAACCACACAGAAGAAAGCAAATATAGTGAATGAGAGTGAACCTGGGGTTGGTTTTTACTTTCACTGCCAATTCCTGCATCAACTCATAAACGCAGCACAACTGATGACTAAAGCCTAGTTCACATTACACAATTTTCACTGCGATTTTGATGTTGCAGAGGATCTTGAGAGCCACCTTGGGTCGGAGGTGAGTCGGCAGATAGTCTGCCACGACGAGTCCTCATGTGTGAACAAGCCTACAAGCAAGTCGCCCCCTCGTCTGCAACTGGGACTGGATATCTGGCATGCTAGAAAACTGGAGAAGGCTGACACGACTGACAAAGAGCATCAGCCAATGAGAGGTGGGTTACGTCCCACGTCAGCACGCAGGAGGACTGAAGAAATGTGAGGAGGACAAGTCGCAGGGTTGCCATTTGCCAGGTCCTCTTATTAGCCGCGACTTTGGGCTTGTTTCTAAAGTGGAGTTGCTTATTTGGGCTTGCTCTCTAAACGTCACCTTCCTCTATATATATCCGTCAGA